GCTGCTGCGCCGCCCTGCCCGTCGTGCGCCCGCTCGTGCGTGTCGTCGACCCCCTCCTCAACATCGTCGTCGGCGCCGGCAGCCGTCATGTTATCCATCTGGCGCAGCACGGAAGCCTCGGCGAAGAGCTCGGGGTTCCCCTCGAGGTCCCGCATGTCGCATGAGAGCAGGATGTCGCGGCGCAGATCTGGCTCAATGACGGTGGCGAGAACCTCCGCCACAACATTTGACCTCTCATTCGCTTGCTCTGCGTCCCCATCGCCTCCTCCGCCACCTCCCGCCGCGGTGTCGCTGCCGGTGACCCGTCGCCACCGCTGCTCCACCTCGACGGCATCCCGCTGTGCATCGGGTGACAACCGAGTTAGGAAGGCAGAGAAGATGCGTGTGCGGTGGCCCGCCACTTCCCGATCTCGTGCCCTAAGCAATACATTCATGTGGTCGAAAAGTAACTCACGGCGGAGCGAATCAGGCAAATCGTCAAGGAACTGAGGCGAAATGACGTTAAACCACGGCTGCTGCTCTTCTGGTGGGTCATCATTGCCGTCACCAGCAGGTGCGGTGTTACTTCTATCTTCGGCGCCCGCATCACCCATAGTAGCAGTAGCCGAAGTGGTGGCAGGAACAGAAGCATTGCCAGTATCAGGGAGAGCAGACGAGGTTTGCTCGGTATTCAAGACACGAAGATCAACGGGTGACGTTCTTCGCCCCACATTCCCTGCGTCATCCGCAGCACCGCCGATTAGTCCACGTATTTGTTCACTCAAGATGGAATCGGCATTTATCATGTGTGTTATCAGGTTGGTCATGAAATTTCTTGAGGACCCTGTGGTGGCAGTCTCCCAGGAAACGGCAGATCGCTGGATATCCTGGTCGTTTGGTGTCCCCAAATCTAACGGGGAAACTGAAGGGGCATCACTATGCCCTGCCGCTATTCTTGTGGCCGCTCCTGCTGAGTCGCCACCGTTGTTGCTACCACTGGTGCCGGCTTGTACTGGCAACGTTACGCGCGGTGGCACCTCCTCGAGGCCACGCAGCACTGGTGGAAGTGGATCAAACACCGCTAACTCATCCCATTGTCTGTCCACCGACGCGTTGATCGCCTCACATACACTCACCAGTCGCGACACGATGCCATGCCGCTCACTTCCCATGACGGAGTAGTCCCGCAGCATCATATCGGGCCTGCTCCGGCCGAGGATCTCAAGTATCGTTGTTTGGCCGTCCGCGGCGAGCAGCGTCCAGTTGCCCCCATCGCTCCCACTGCCAGGCATGCGGGCGACGCCAGTGTAGTTCGTGTAGTCCAACGGCATGTGGCCACGCGCGACCGATGGCAGCATCGCGTCGGCGGGCGTGCTGTCGAAGGGGAACGGCATCAGCACCATCTCGTTCAGCGGGCCGCCACTCTGCATATTCGGCTGGTCTATGACAAACGACATCCCCGCATCGTTGTCGTCGTCGCCGTCGTCTTCCTCGTCCTCGTCCTCGTCCTCATCATCCTCATCCTCATCCTCATCCTCCTCCTCCTCAGCACCCTCGTCGTCGTCGTCGTCGTCGTGTTCCATGTCTGTTATGACGAGTTCCGCGCCCTCCGCACCGCCGCCGTAGCCCACGATGCGGCCGATGCCAAAGGTATTCGTGCCGCTGATGATGTGTGCGACGCGCTGGGCGTGTTCGTCGTCCTCGCCGTCGTTATTCTCGACAGTTTCATCATCATCATGTGTGTGGCCAACTTCACCATCGCCCATGTCGTCGTCTTCTGCGTCTGCGTCCTCGTCTTCGTCTTCCTCTTCTTCGTCATCATCATCGTCATCGTCGTCGTCGTCATCGTCATCGTCGTCGTCATCGTCATCATCATCATCGATGTCGTTCATATCCTGCGGGCCTGTGTGGATGTGCACCGCGATAGGCAACATTTCGCCGAGGGCCAACTCGAGGCCCCCCTCGTCGTCATGACGGAGGCGGTGGAAGTCGTCACTCTCCGAGTCGCGGCCGCTGCGGAACAGCGCAACGGCATCGTTGGGCCGCAGTAGCTCACCGATCCCCAGCATGATGTCGGGCAGCGAGTCCTCGTGACGCACACGCAGCCGGGCGCCGGCATCGTCGCGCCGGTCGTGGCTTTCGTCAAGACCAAAGTACGATAGGTCATCCACAACGATGCCCGACGGGGGCGTGTGTACTGTCTGCATCATGCCGCCATCGCTCAGCCGCGCCGTGCTGCCCTCTTGTACCTGCAATGACGAGGACGATGTCTGTCGTCGCGCCCGTTGAACCTGTATCGCATCACCACTGCCACTTTCGCCCACCGGGTCGTGTCGGTCGTTGGGCTGGGCCGCGTTTCCGCTGCGGCCACTGTTGTGGCACTTGCCATACGCCAGCAGCACGCGTCGAATGACAAGGAGGAGCGCTGCGGCGTCACGCTCGGTGGTGCAGCAACACTGCTGCGCCATGCGGTACATCACGTCGAGGGCGCCGCAGCTCCACAGCTCGTCACAAATTCGCCAGACGAGCGAGCGCGACGGAGCCGCTAGTAGTAGGCGCAGTACGTGAACGAGACGGCAGGCCATATTCGCCGGTGTGGGACCCTCAAATAGGGAAGCTAGGGCTGCCACCTCTTCATCGTCCTCCTCCTCCTCCTCCTCCTCAGTGACATTGTCCTTCTTCTTGCTGCTTCGGGATGATGCAGCTGTCAGCATCACCTCAAGCGCCTGCAGGACAACGCGTGTCAATCGTGAAGGTGCCTTCTGTGCAACACTAGAAAAAAATGGCTCAAGCAGCTCCAACCTATGCTTATCCATGTAAAGTACAACCGCTAGGAAAGGTGTAAGGTAAAAGCTTCCCTCCCTCACGGAGAAGGAGTCTCCGGGTTGTGTTTGGTGTTGTTGTTGCTGTTGGTTTCTCTGCTGTGGTTGCCGTGTGTGCTCGTTGGTTGGCTTACATTCCGCAAATACGTCCCGCATGCTTTCCGGAAGCGGCAAGTTGATATTGTACGTCGTCATGATGGCGGCGACGGCGGGGACGCTTGTTATATGATTCAGAACGGTGGCGGCATAATTCGGCAGCAGCGACTCGTCCGCAAGCCGCCGCAGCAGCATTTCCAGAAGCTTCTCCGTCATGATGCGCTGTGGTGTGTGCGCAGTGCCCATCGCGCCTGGCCGCGGAGGCTTCCGTGGCGCCAGCCACACGGCGGTCTTGACGCTGTCCGGTGTCGTGGTGTTCTCGTCGGTGCGCAGGATGTGCACGACGCAGGAAGTGTTGAACACCGCGCAGAAGGCCTTGGGGTGCTTGTCGATGACAGAGCGCAGGGCAACAATGAAGTCGTTCAGCGGCATTGACTGGCGGTGGATGTCGGCGACGCCGCGGTTGCGCGGACTGCCCTTGCGTGTGCCCAGACTCGCGTGCTGGGTGCCCAAGAGCTCCTGCACATCCGCCTCTCGCAGCGTGTAGGTGCCACCGATGTGCATGTAGTTCTGCACGGCGCCCACCATGGCGGAGTACACGGCCCACTCCGTCTGCTCGGGCTGGTCGAGGAGGGCCTTCAGCACCGCTACGCGGGTGGCTGGCGCCGGCGTATCGTCGCGCAGCACGCGGGAAACGGCGCGCTCAACGAGACCCTTCCTTGTGGTGTCGTTCAGTTGATAAAGGTTCGAGATGAGCGACGTGTCGCCGGTCTCTAACAGTTTCATGAGCAAGCTCAACGCAATGTGCGTCACTGGCGTCTCCAGCACGTGCAGCTCACGCGCCAACACCACCCTTTTCTGGCGGCTGTTGACGTTGCCACTTTCGGCGTTAGACTCGTATTCCTCTTCAGCATGCTTGTGTCGGTGGTGCTTCTCCTTGAGCTGCTCCTCCAGAACGCTGTCATCTTCGGCGAGGTAGTCGAGGACCAGCTCTGAGCACATCGGAAGGAGGCTCTTCGGCAGCAGCAACGCGCCACCAACGACGGATGACATGCTGAGCTTCACACCCGCCCCTCCCTCAAGAGCCCCACGACACCCGTCACCAGTCGACTCCTCCTTGCCGTGCTCCTCCTCCTTCACTGGGCCTGCCGCAGTCGGCTCCACGCTACCGCCACTAACTGTATCACCGGATCGCACCGTGGTGTCCTTTTCCTCCCCTGTTTTTTCCGTCTCGCTCGGCTCAGCGTAACCGAACTCCTTTAGCAAGTGCACGACGTCTCGCACCCTTTCATTCACGGCTGCAGTCGTGAGTCGCATGTTCACCGTGGCGCCATCGCTCGGATGCGGGAAGCGGCAGAGGTGGCCCATCCAACAGAAGTTCAACTGGTTACCTCTGTAGTACGGGCACGTGCGCAAGCCCTTCTCCCCCAGCGTGCTCGCCGAGCAGGCAGAGAGGAAGCAGAAGAGCTGTCCTAGCATCGCCTTGCGTCGCTGCTGCTGCTGCAACGGATCGGCCGAGGCCTCACCAGAAATGCGGAGAAGCTCTGCGGTGATACATTCGAATATGGCGCGAGGAAGTTGTGTATGTGAGACGAGTGCCACACGCAGGCATACGGACTCATCCTGCGAAAGCAACACCGCCAGAAGCTCCAGAAGTGTGTAGTTACGCGCGGGGTTTTCGAGGATGAGGCGGATGATGGTCTGCAGAATTGGTGACGAACGCCGTGGCGCGCCAGTCGAGCGGTGGTCCAAGAGGAGGCCGCTGGTCTGATAGTGGTAGTAGTAGAGCCAGCACACCTTGGTGCTCTGCCGCCGCATGTGCATACTCTCTTCTTCCGTCACACCGTCGGCGAAGCGCAGCGTGGAGGCTACCTCAAGCGTCCACCCTATTGCAATATCCGAGAGAGATGGGGACGATGATGGTCTTTCCTGCTCGTGGTGCTGTGATTCTTCGTCGTGGCCCTGTTCTCCATCCTCATCAGGATCTCTGTCGGGCACCGAGAAGTCGGCATCGACTCTCGCCCCACCCCCCATGTTGGCGCCTGACAAAACGCTCGACGGAATCGGCGGCATGGCTCCCGCGACATTTGGTCCACCCATCCCCATCCACGAAGTGTAGTCCAGCCAGCGCGAGGTNCCAGGCGTTCTGTCGCCTTCCTCCTCAGTGACGTTCTCCGGCGGCTGCACGGCGGGGGCACTGTCGGCCTCCTCGTCAAATATGTGCGTGCCGAGGTCGAACAGCCGCGCCAGGAGGCCGCGCGTCATCCCTGTGGTGAGCGTGAGGCCATGCGCCCGCCACGTCACGAGTGCAAAGTAGACAAGCGGCTGCACCCACTGCCGCCGCGGTGAGACGCGTTCCAGTGAGGCCCTCAGCAGCGCCTCGAGGATAGAAGACAGAGCGCGGATGATAACCGCGAGCTTCGTAGGAGCCGAAGCATCAGCCACCTGGTTCTCACTCCTGGGATCCGTGCTCTCTGCGGGGGGTGGTGGTGACGGCGGCGAAGATGCCGCTTCTCCCCGTACCCCTTCTAATGTCGTTGGCGATGAAGATGGTGAGTTCCACTGCAGTGGCAGCACACTTTCTGTGATGGATCGAAGGCATGCGGCAATGTTTATGAAGAAAGAGGAGAGACTGCCGCTATCGCTGCTAGAGCTACTGCGCCACATTCCAGCGAACAGCACCTCTGTGTACCGCATGCGCACCTCCACCTCCCGCAGCTCCGACAGATCCACCGCGTCGAGGGCAATGGCGCGGAGGGTGGCCTGCACGTCCGGAGTCACCTCGCCTCCCGCCACATTCTCATAAGACACATCGAGCCACTTCTTGCTGACAGCAGTCTCGACAGAACTCGCGATTTTCCGTAGCACAGTCTCCACACGGCCAAGCAGGTGCACCGCATTCACCGGTAACAAGTAATATTGGTTCGACGACATCGCGCGGTGCAGTCGCAGCGTAGAGGAAAACGGGCGGCTGGAGTCAGGCGGAGGCGCGAGCATGCGGGAAACGCAGCGGCGGAACGTCTCCGTCGCGGAGCTTGTCTCCTGCTCGCCACCACTACCACCACCTTCTGCTGCTGGCAAAACAACACCGGTAGTAGGGGCGACCCCACGATTAGACATCCCACCCTCTTCGTGAGACAAGAAGAATTCTTCACGGCGGGCGTCCCCGAACGGCATAGGCCATTCGAAGGAGTAGTCAGTGTCCGTAACGCCGGCATCCGGCCCACCTTGCGTCGTCGTTGCTGCATCTACAGCCCCAGGACCAACCAAACCTGTTGCTTCGCTTGGTGTTGCAGTTGGTGATGCGCCGATCGCAGCCGTTGACACTGCCGCTGTTGTTGGTGTTGCTTCTCCTGCTTCTGTTGCCAGACGGCTTGAATCTGGCGTGGTATGAGTGGTGACGCCGTCCCGTGCAACCTCCATTAAGACGTATGCGTCGAAGATTGCGTTGGCCAAATCGCGGCGGAACTTCGTCACGTTTGACGGTGTGCACTGAAAGTCAACGAAGAGGGCAGAAGTCAGAAGATGCAGCGTCAACACACGATCATCCGAGAGGCCGCCATTCCGCAACATCTCCACTGAATCCTTGGCATAGCCGACAATCTCCCGTGAGATGCTGTCAAGTAGTGGTATCGGAATGTCGCACAGAAACGCCCGGAGAACGTTGCAGGTGGTTGTCACTGATGTCCTGCGGCGCGGCATCCGCAGCAGCGCGGCGATCGCCTCGACGATTACCTTCTCGCACTGCACCAGCTTCTGGATGAGCGCGTCCCCCGAAGCGTTGGCGGCGTCCGGCTGCCGCAAGCGATGGCGGCGGTGCGATGAGCGCTGCGTGAGTTGGCGGAACTCCGCTCCGCTGAGGCAGGCCAGAACGTTCAACAACGACAGCTCCACCTCCGGTGCGGCACCTGGACGACGGGCTTCCACCGCGAGTCCCCGCAGTGTCTCTGACAGCGCCGCGAAGAAGCTGTCCTGTATCCCCGGCAGCGTGCGCAGCAGCGAAAGAAGATCTTTGCCTGCTGCTTCCGCTGAGCGGGGCTCAACGCGCAATGACTGCACCTCCGTTGTGCGCGGAGACCCCACTGAAAATGGCGCTGCGGCCGCTGTGGTGGGATTGGCGGGCACCATGAGACTCCGCAAGAAGCACTGCAACAAATGCGGCTGGTTCAGCTGTGCGTGTGTGCTATTGTGCACTGCAAAGGCCTGGAGGATACTGCAGATGTTTATGATCGGTATGGCCTGTTCGTAGTATGCGAGGGTGTCGACTTCATCCAGCTCCTCTGTGTCCTCCTCGACGACCAGCCACGCGTACGTCTCACGCATCCCGGTGTCCGGGTTGATCGAGACGGGCGACCGACGGCTTCCAGCTAGCGCGCGTCGGTTGGGTCGCTCAAGGAGTGTAGAGCTCTCCCCAATCGCCAACACTATCTGCAATACGCCGCGCTGCTGAAGCGCCGGCACAACATCCCGCACGTTGTGGTGGATGCACGCCGCGAAGAAGCGGAACGCCGCCGCCACGAGGACAGGGTGGCCGCCAGGGTATAGTATACTCTTGCAGATGTGCTGGCACAGCTCGTAGCCGTCGTCCTCCTGCGGCGAAAGCAGGAAGACGATCGGGTTGATCGTCTCATGCGTTGAGAGCGTCAAGAGGCGTTCCAGCACGGCCAAGCACCAGCGCAGTACGTCTACAGCCTCGTAACTCCAGCCATACCGGTAGGCTCGGTCACTGCTGCTAGTGCTAGTATGGTTAACCGGGTTTTTCTCGTCCATGTAAGTCCGCATCACCGTCACTACAGCGCGTACGAATCCATAATTAAGCGCAAACGACGTATTTGTATTCTCTCTGGTAAGCGCCAAGCTCCGTATGAGAAATATTGGACAGTAGTGCGGCTGGCAACGCAGCACCTCTGTCAACTGGGTCACCATAGCCGGAAGCATCGTGGAGTAGGCTGAGATGCTCAGCGGAAACACGGCGATGTGTGTGCTGTGGTAGTCCTTGAGGAGGCGGTACTGCCATTCCTCTGCGAAGCAGCGATGGCTGCCACGCTGGAACCTGCGGTGGGACGGCGCCACACGACTCACCGTGTCGAGTGGGTTAAGTGTAGCGTAATTCACAATGAGGCTGCCGAGTGTTCCGCCAGCGCGCACAGAGAAGTGCCAGAAGCGCAAAACATCCGCAATCGCTCCGACGAGTGTCGCCGCACTGTTCGCCCGGATGTCCACGGCTCCAACGTTTCTGTCACCTGCATCCAATGTTTGTGCGCTGCTAATATTGTTGTTGCTATTGTTGTCGTGGTTGTGGCTATCATCCCGGGTGTCATTTTCGTCGTCGCACTCAATGTCTTCCAGGATGTTAAAAAATAACCGCTCGGTCTTCCAGACGCTGCGGAAGAACTCGCACGCGGCCCCCGAGAGCACCTCATCGCGTTCCTGCTGCGACAACAGCTGCACACACAGCAGGCGGCAGCGGCACCACCACAGCAGCCGCTCCGGGTCGCCGGCGGCGTCAGCCATGCTCGCGAGCACGGCCTTCCCAATCTGCACCGGGTCAAGCGCATAGGCGCCATCCTCGGCAGGGAGTCGCAGCGCCCGCTCGGGGACGACCTGCAGCGGGTCCTGCACCAGGTGTGGGAGACGCAGCAGCTCCGCGTCTGCCGCCTCCTCCGCCGCGTCAGACTCCTGCCAGCCGTTGCTGTTGTTCGTTGTTATTCCTTTGCGCCGCCGCTGCCGCTGCCGCGCCCGCAAGCAGCACTTCACCACGTCCTCGAAGGTCGGCGACGACTCCCACCCGTGGGCGACGAGCCGCATCACCCCCATGCCGTCGAGCACCTTCTCCGGCAGGAAGGGATGCGTGAAGTTAATGAGCAGGCCAAGGTACACAATGGACGGGTCGCGGCACAGCATCAGCCGAGTGGTACACGTCACCGCCGGGCACCCCTCGTCGCGCACCATGCGGTACGGCGCGCACATCACTACCACCAGCAGCAGAACAGAGCGCAGGCTCTCGTAGTCATCGTCGCTCCCCGGCGCACTCCCCTCTTCATTTGCAGCCGCCGCATTTGCATCGGCGGTGTCCCCCATGGAGGTGTTGCCGCCACCCTTTCTGTTGCGGTACAGGATGCGCTTTGAGTTCGCCCGCCACCACTTCCACGCCACCTCCTTCAGTGGATCGCCGAATCCATTGTTGCCGAAACTGCTCACATCGCGAAAGAACTCCTCGTCGTGGAGGATGGCGTCAAACACATCTGGCGTCTGTGCGCAGTCGCGCTTGCACTCCCGCACGCGTGCGATGTAGTGCAGGAGAATGGGCGGCGGCAATGTGAGCTGCGGGCCCATCGGGGCATCACCGTGGTAGAACGGGATCGCCACCTGGCCACGAACAGTGCCCATGCGGCCCTGCATCCGTGCACTGCCTGCTCTCCCACTCTTTCCACTCCCTCGCGCCCTCGGCTACCACAGCCTCGACTACGGCGACTACTACTACCACTACCACTGCCACTGTCACTACTAATACGGCAGCAGGAGCAGCAGCGGCACGCACACTCCACACAAACACACACACACACACACACTCAAGCCCACACTCGCAGAGACTAAGACACGCACCTCGGAGCAATACGAAGCAACGACGCCAAACGAGTCGCAGAGAGAGAGAGAGGGGGGGAGGAAACGAGATGAAATCACCGTCCTTCGCTGTCTTCCCGCCCAACTTGCGATTCGTCCCTTTCCCCTTGTTTTTGTTGTTGGTTTCCTTGTTGTTTTGTTTGTTTGGTATCGCCAATCCCTCNTAAGACACGCACCTCGGAGCAATACGAAGCAACGACGCCAAACGAGTCGCAGAGAGAGAGAGAGAGAGGGGGAGGAAACGAGATGAAATCACCGTCCTTCGCTGTCTTCCCGCCCAACTTGCGATTCGTCCCTTTCCCCTTGTTTTTGTTGTTGGTTTCCTTGTTGTTTTGTTTGTTTGGTATCGCCAATCCCTCACCCCTCTTTTTTTTTCTTTGGTTTCTTTTTCTCTTCCTTGTTTCCCTCCTCGCGGCTTGCTTGTTTGCTTGTTTATCGTTCGCACCTCGTCCCGCCCACGCTGGCGGAGACTAAAACGAGAGAGACAAAAAACAAAACCTTGCGGAGAAGGAGGAAGAGAAGGAACAGCAGTCGTACAGAGGACGTACGCGGAGGCGAACACACAAGGAATGAGGGGGTGGGGGCGCACGAGAAGAGAAGAGCAGCAGCAGCAGCCAAAGAGTCCAGCCGCAGCAAGAATGAGGCGGCGAACGGCGCGGCGCCCACAACACACACACAGACAAAGGCACACACACACACACACAGAGAGAGAGAGAGACGCTACGCCCTCACTTCGTGCCGTACGCTGCCTGGAAGTCGCGGNACACAGAGAGAGAGAGAGACGCTACGCCCTCACTTCGTGCCGTACGCTGCCTGGAAGTCGCGGTACAGCTCGCCAACAAACTCCTGCGCAGAGCCGAGGCTGGGGTACAGGGTGTACGCAACGCTGCCGCACAGCAGCAGCGCCAGCAGGCGCGTCAGCTTCTCCGTCCGCTCGATGCGCTCCTGCAGGTTGCCGATCACGCGCACGCCGCTGTCGTACGGCGGGAACGGCTCGTCCGGCACCGGCTTCTCGAGGAACGCGCAGAGCGGCTCCCAGCCGTCGCCGTGGCGGTACACCAGCAGCCGCGCCGCCGGAACGTGTGC